CTCGGTGGTTGGAAGGGATCAGGGAGACTTGCAAGTTGGGACTTGAAGTCTTTTTCCATAAAAAATCGATCCACTTTCAGGTAGTGTGAGCGCTTCTTCGTGTGGAAGCGTGAGCTAGGATAGCTGCGTCCATGCCTTTAGTAGCCAACTTAGCCTGGTAGCTTACCTCCTTACCTGGAGGGGGGAGGCGGGCTAAACAAAGAACATAGTATTAGGAGAGAGGAGCCACTTCGACGGTCGAGTTTCGACAGACTGTCGAATGGTCCGAACAACCAGGAGAAGAGGTTGGACATTTCGCCACGTCAAATTCAGAACACGTAGCACCTATATAATCATTAATCCCAATGTTTTTTGACATGTTCAACTAGCTGGCATGGGCTTGCATACCTGAAAAGCGAGTGACCAACCGTGTATGTCTTTTCGTGACCCACGGTATCGAATGGATGGTCCACGTTTTTGTGCCGATCTTGCAAGTCCATCGAAGGCATGGTGAAATGGAGGCCCCTGAAACAGAAGTTTTTGGAAGATCCTTTTCCTCTACAAGGAGCTCCATGAGTGTAGCTGAAGAATTCCCCCTCTCATGGAAGCTGACTCAATTGAGTCCTGGTCAGCTTCCATGATTGGAGGCTAGTTACTCTATCGCTTTGGCGCTAATCGCACCTGCTCCGTGGGAGTGGTGACATACTCCACGGACCTGGGCACGAGGTCGTTCTGCAGAGCGTGAAAGCTCCAAAATCATCAACACCAGAAAGGAAGTTCCCTTCTTCATTTGCCAGAATGAACACAAGAGCTGAGAATAGGTCATGTTGGATTCTCTTGGATTCATGCCCTTCCTTTCAGAACAGACCTTTTGTTTGTAGCTCAATGAAGCCGACCCAAAGACCTGCAGGTGAACTAGTCAACTAGTCGTTGTATTCAATTACCAGAGGGGTTGGATGGAACCTGGTTTTGGGGCCATTGTCATTTCATTGTCATCGTGGAGTGCAAGTCGATCTGGATCTGGATCCACATACCCTCTGGGAAGGTGGTTGGACGTATTTCCGTGCTGGCTTCGCACCGTCCAAATATCATCTCAGGGGGCTGTGAATATCCTATATATATAGGAACTTTTGAGCTTACAAGCCTGCTGACTGTTCTGTGGTTTCCCTTCGCACCGATATTCAAAAAAAATGAAAAACATAGATTCCATGATCATGGTTCTTTCCCATCTTTCCCTTGGTCTTCTGACCTTGGAATCTTCTTCCTATTCTTTCACACAAAACAAATCAAGTGACGAAACCCCAGCCGCACCCATTGCCGGTGGTGAAACACACCATCCCCACGTGGAAGTTCCGCGGCGGAAAAAGATCGATCTCTTGGGTTCAAATCACCATCGGCGTGGTCGGATTCCGTCGGCACATCTCGTCGGTCGTCGGTGATAAAAAGAAAAACACATTCCAGGATCATCCAATGGGTGTCCAATAGACTACCCTAGCCTACTTACAGGTCTAAGTGCTAGGTTCACATCACATTCACAATGTTCTCATCACATCCACTGACGCATACTTCGAGCACAAAAAATGGAACAACATCTGTGGAACTGCTGGCTGCTGGTGCAGTCGTGTTCATTCCCAAGCACTTCGGTACCAAGTGGCATGGAACCCAAGGACTGGCACAGCTCCAGCTGCAGCTTCGGAACTTTCGCGAGACATGATGTGTTCCTGGAGGATCTGAGGTGTGGTTTTATTTGACTGCAAAAGAACTACTATACAAACAAACAAACAAACAAACAAACAATTGGGACTGCTGTTTGAATGCAAGTCGCAACCAAATATGCCCAGTACATCCCAGTACCCCTGATTTTAGGTGCAAGAACTTGCAATCCGTTCACTTCTTTGGGACGTCTTTCTTGCATTCAGTACCCGTGCCAAGGTGCAGTGCATCGCAAATGGGCTCTCCACAGTTGGAGTTGTCATCTCCAAAATCCACGCGCACGGACAAGTTCACGTCCCCCACACCATCGACCACGCCGGTCGACACCGGAGCGATGCCAAGAGCTCGGACCCATGTGATCCACGTGCAGAGGCGCAGGAACATCGCGGCGTTCGCACGAGGAGGGGGTGATGAATCGAAGGTCTTCGAGCCATGCACAGCGAGGGAATGATGTGACCAGCGAGCTATGTTATATATACCCTACGGTCCTACGGTCGACCCAAACCCGATAATTTTTGTAGGGTCGATTGGAAAAACCTAGGGTTTCAGAAGGAGATGTTTCATGATGATTCATGGGTTTCTTCATACTTTGAGCACAATGTTTCGCTGTTGCGACCATGCTGCAATGCGGCATTCTTCCCACAAAAATAACAATGTTTATCCATGTTTGGTGAAGCATCGTCGGGGATCAGCTGAAGTGTCACCGAAGCTGAAGCCGGGATGCTGGAAACGGCCGAAACGCGCTGCAGCCGCCGCATGAGGCAGCACGTCGATTTGAGGTTGATGGGGGGAGCTGTTTTGAGCCAATGTCTTGGAACGGATGGATGTCACTGTTTTGGTTCGGAAGGGGCCCCAAAACCTTTCTTCCATGTGCAGTCCCCTAGCAGCCCCAGCAGCTCCGGACGATAAAATGCACGCAAAGTTAGACGAGAATCTGCAAGGTGAGGTAGAGGTTGTGAAATTCCGCCTGAATGCTCCTCAAAGAGCAGTAGTTCATGTAACACAAATCTTACGAACTACTCCACTCGTGGAATCGTGGAACTCCTCAGGAGCGTGTAACCATCCAAGCCTCTGCAACTCAAGAATCTGAGAAGGACGCTCTGATGCATTTTTCAAGCTGCAAATGGCCCAGTATGAATCCCAGCCATGCAAATATGTGGCAGGAAGATCCTGCCATGAGTAGCAAAATTTAATATATGAATATCCCTTCAACAGGAATTCAACAGATCTTACATCACAAATGTCAGTAGGATTCTACTGCAAGGATCGTGTCTCTGCTTATTGTCTGTTGACTAAGATGAACACCCAACACCTCCAGTGGGGTCCATCTTCATCAGAAGGAACACAGCCTGGTGAAACTGTGTCTGTCTTCCCACCAAGTTGAAAGTCATGTCGCTGAGCTTCAGGAGAACCATTGTCGACCTGGAACAAACACGTGGAACCCACTCCATGAGCCATTGGTCTTTGAACGAAAAGTCTGCATGTCATCAAGACGCTTCTTTCATCAGCCTCTTTCTGTTCTGCCCGTTTTCCAAGAAAAGACCCCGTGCTACCCTCTGCGCAAACGTAAAACAAAACTTTAACATGTTCGAAAGGACCACACGAAAGAGACTGTATCGAGCTAACCACACGAAACGGAGGGCAAGTATCACTGCAACTTGACCACTTCGCGACTGGACCCACCCGCGGTGGTCAATGGATACCCCAAACGCTTGACCTCTTTTTGGGCCACTTAGACACCCCAAACAGGTTTCCCCCTGAATTACACGATCGGCCCCACGCCGCCGGCGTCACGTTGACGGTCCCACGCTCGTCGGTCCAGTTGGGCGCCTCCGATGTGACGCCCTTTTCGCCCCTCGGAGAAAGGTGGACTCCTGCGAGGCCGGGGAGGAGCGAGCCAACAAAGTCTAGAGAAATGTCGGCCAAGGGAGTCGGAATTGAAAGAGGATCAATTCAGATCTGAATAGGTCTTTTAATGATCATTTAAGGATATTTAAGGAATTTAAAGGATAATTACAGTATCGTCAACTCCTCCTCTCTCTCTCATTCTCCTCCTGCCACCGCCCTGCTTAAAGCCTCGCTGCACTCGGGGCGCCACACCTGAAATGAACAACACGCATGGCAAATTGCAACAAAACAACTACTTTGGGTGCTGACATGTGACTTTCACCTAGGTTTACTGGCCTTTACGGGCGTGAAAGGATTAGTGCTGTGATGTTCTTGTTTTGCCTGTTGTCCGGGGAGCACCAATATTGCTCCAATGAGCATCTGCTATTCCTTCAAGCAAAAACAAATCTTGTGCCAATCCTCGCTTCCAGCGTCTTTGTCCTGTTTCAACGAACCACAGTCTATTCTGTGAGCACTTCCATTCTGATTGCAGTCCATTCTTTTGTAAACATTACATCATCTGCAGAATCTGAGCCGTTTCTTTTTAGGTACAGTGCCTATACACTGGGGGGGTTCGCAGGGTTAGAATTTGCGGGAAGGGGTACGTGGCTTCGCGAGGCTTCGCGTAACACCAAAGGATTTGAGAAACTGTTTTACAACCTTTCATACACTCTATAAGTTGGAATTTGCAAACTGTCTTCGCCTGTGTGAAATCTAAGAGCCTACACCAAAGGCTTCAAGAGCCCTCGCCACAAATAGTGTATCACACAAGTGTCTTTGCAAACGTCTAATCCAAATTTCATTTAAACATAAAAGCATGCTACTCATCTATTCAGGGTCATTCATGGGAAGACTGCCCATCATCAATCAATTTTTGAAGTTTTCTAACCAACCAAATCGGTCGGAGACTCTTTACCGACCGCATTGCTCCAGCTCAAATCAGTCCAGTCGTCCGGTCCAGTTCGTGGATCCTCCGGTTTTACCCGATGGTTGACCGAACCCGTGCCATATTTTGTGTCCGTGCCATTCTCCTGGCAGTCCACGCATATTTGATCCATTCTCGAGTGGCAGCCCCTTCAGATCCTTGCTGTGGGTTCCCTGGGTGCGCGAAATCGTCCCGCTGCCCGCTGGGGTTCCCGGGGTGAGCTGATCTTTCTTTGGGCGACCCAGTCCCTATGCCAATGGTAATAGTCCTAGGGTCCTAGAACAGGAAGATCCCCGTGACCCCAGCCACAGGGGGTTGAGTTTGTTCTTGTGGCTCCAGTCCATGGTCTTTCCACGCTGTGCAGCGCATTGCTGCGCTAAGGATCTCATGGTTTGTTTGCTACGAGTACTGAGCTGCTACTGCAGCGGTTTGGAAGAGCCCTCAGGCCCTTGGAGCTCCGCTAGCTCGACCACCTCGACCCCGGAGCCTGAAGAAGTCAGTCCTTGCTCTCGGAGTAGACGAGGTCGGAGTAGTAGCAGGTGTGCTTCTGGAGAAGTCCAAATCAGAAGCTGTGTGTGTTCTTATTGTGAACTTGTTTCGGCACATGAACGGAACAAAAACAAGAACAACAACGAACAGTGGGAGATGAAGGCTTGTTGCGTCTTGGGGCGCCGCTGGCTAATGCACTCTGTCGCATGGCACTGAGCTGCGTGGCATCTTAATAGAGTTTTATGTTTCTGAGAAGTGAATGGAGGATTGGTTGTTGTTCAGCTGCAGCTACATGAGCTGCATACATCTCGGCAAGTTCCCATAAGAATATACCAACAACTTGGAGCCATTGAACTCAGGCTCAAAGGAAATACACAGACTCTGAACGTGTGTTCCACAGAGCTATAAGTGCAGCCAACTTCAAATTGTCTAAGACCAATCAAATCAATGTTACTCACATTCTTGTCCACCAGACCCATTTCATCCATCACCTTCTTCCAATCTCCCTTTGGGATCTCCCTTCTTCCCTCAAATCCACCACCGCTTCTCCCGCTTCGCCGGGAGGTTGGTCGGCCTTCCACGGGAAGCGGTCGCGACAGCCGTTGACGTTGCCGTTGAGGTCGTCGAAGACCTGCGAGGCGAGGCGTGGACGGCGCGAGCAGCGGGGGTTCATGGTTAGGTGAAGCACCCAGCGCAAAAGGTTTTTTTTATAGCATGATCATGTTACATTTGTTCACAATTGTCCGATGTTTTTCGTAGAACATAGTTATTCTAATTCTGATCAAAACACATGATTCTAGCATCTCATTGAAGTATCCTATATAGCATTCCTGCGCAACAAACGATTGTAATTGTTGTAGCTTGTCTTTTGTTAATTACACTGATCAATCTTATAAACTTTTTGAGGCCCTCACCTGCTCATGCGACCAAATTGTTTGCATCAACACACGCTGACACACGCCCCAAATGTGGTGGTTCTTTGAGAGGTACATCTCCAACCAAACCTTTACACTTTACATGACGAAACAAAACTCCAGCCACTGCCTGCGGCATCTACTGCCAACAATGGATCTACATATCTGCTGCATCTCTGCTGCATCCACCGCATCTCTACAACTATAACACACTATAACTGAGCAGCCTACTAGCTGCTGCTATAAACCTACAACTATAACCTTTTCTGCTACTTGGCGGTACCGGTCCAGTGCGGCTGCATCTGGACAACCACGACTGGGCTTCTGTGCCAATCGTGGAAGCTTCTGTGGCGCGAGGACCTTGGCGAGGGGCGGCAAAACACCAAGGTCGAAAAGCCACGATTGGTATAGGACTGCCTCTGGAGGGAATGAGGGAACTCACCACCCCTATACCTCTCAGGATTCCTGAAATTCATTATGAATCGCACCAGTCAGTGGATTCACATAACACTTGAGTTTAAATGATGGACAGTCCCTAGAATCATGGCAGTGGATGGCACCACTTCTTTGGTCTTCGGATTTTGTGGTCATCGTTTCGGGGCCATCATGTCATCGACGTTGGTTGGCCCATCGAAAAGATGGATTTCCGGGGAGTGTATCTTCAACTCGGCTGCTTTACAATCAACTTTGTTGGCAGTTCTTAAATTGACGTATATATATATATACATATCATATGGAACTCTGTTGACAGGTTCAAATTCTATTGCAGAGTTGTTGCCAGCACCAGTTTTTGGAGTTTTTCACCATGGGAGTGGGCACGTATGGACACATGGAACACTTTGATGAACAGTTGTGGAACAGTTTGGAACACAAAACGTCTGGGAGTTTTTGCAGTTGTTTCGCCTAACTACCTCAGAATAGACAGCTTCTAAGGTAGTGCATGGTATGTTGGAACCATCCCACTGTGGTTGGTTTCTTGATCTGAACATGGAGGTCGTAGGAGCCACAGTACTGAGTCTGGTACAATCTATTGGAGTGTACCGAATGCATGCGACCATGTACAACCATAGAACTCGAACCAAAAGCAAGATTGACAGAGCCATTCAAACAGTCTTTACTGGGTTGATCTTAAATCATCATCAAAATGTTGAACACCAGGCCAAAGTTAAGGGTCATGTGGTCCTTTCTGGAAAAAATCCTTGATTGAAATTGCTGTGAGGCAATGCATGGGGGTCTGCATGTAGAACTCACTTTGCCTCGCCTCCGCGTCTGCATTCTGAACAAGTCTGGCACGCAACACCTCTCCCCTCTCCAAAAGCATAGCATACATGACTTATGACGAACTACATGAGCCAAAGGGCTGAATTAAAGGATTATGTCTAAACAATGTGCATGTCCTTTCGATAAATTGGATTTATGTTCTTCGATGCTCCAAAGTTGACCTTAAAAGCCGTATATCCGCCGACCCCGCCGGTTGAAGGGGGCGCGCGCCAGAGGAGGCAACCGAGGGCATGCTGCGAGGCTTCCGAGGCGTTTCCGTCACAGCCGGCGGATTGAAGCGTGGCTGAAGGTCCGAGAGCGGAAGAAAGGGCGTGCTCGACGCGGCTTCACAGACTTTTTTACGGGTTCCGAAAGCAACGTTAGACATTCTGGGGGCGTACGGGGAGG